TTTTCCTCTATTTCTTTGCATTGATCACTGAGGAAGGCTTTCTTATCTCTCCTTGCTATTCTTTGGAACTCTGCATTCAAATGGGTATATCTTTCCTTTTCTCCTTTGCTTTTCACTTCCCTTCCTTTCACAGCTATTTGTAAGGCCTCCTCAGACAGCCAATTTGCTTTTTTGCATTTCTTTTTCTTGGGGATGGTCTTGATTCCTGTCTCCGGTACAATGTCACCAACCATAGGAAACTAATATACATGGTATACCATGAGTTTTCTCAGTCATTCTTCTATGGCAAACATTTAGACAGTCTCCAGCTTTCAGCCTATGAACACAACTGCCAGGAATACTTTATATATATTTTGTTTGCATCTTAGATTACTTCCATGAAGTGATCCAAGTAGAAACACTATGTTAAAACCTGTAGATATTTGAAAGTTTTTTTCCTTTAAAAAAATTGTTTGTTGAGGTACAGTTGATTTACAATGCTGTGCTAGTTTCTGATGTACAACAAAGTGATTCAGTTATATATATATATATTCTTTTTCATATTCTTTTCCATTATGGTTCATTATAAAATATTGAATATAGGTCCCTATGCTATACAACAAGACCTTCTTGTTTATCTATTTTATATATAGTGTTTGTAGCTGTTGTTGTTGTTTAGCTGCTAAGTCGTTTCCAACTCTTTTGCAACCCCATGAACTATAGCCTGCCAGGTTCCTCTGTCCATGGAATTTTCCAGGCAGGAATATTGGAGTGGGTTGCCATTTCCTCCTCCTGGGCATCTTCCTGACCCAGAGATCAAACCTGCCTCTCTTGTGTCTCCTGCACTGGCAGGCAGATTCTTTACCACTGAGCCTGCTAACCCCAAACTCCTAATTCATCCCTCCCCAACCCGTTTACCCTTTGGTAATCAAAAATTTGTTTTCTGTCTGTGAGTCTGTTTCTGCTTTGTAAGTGAATACATTTGTAACATATTTTAGGTTCCACATATGAGTGATATCATGATATTTATCTCTCTGACTTATTTCACTTAGTATAATCTTAAGGTTTTAATGTATATTGTCAAAATAATTGCCAAAATAATTTTATAGGCTAGAGTGCTCATAAAACTTTCCTAATTTTAATAAGCAAAAAAAGTAAAGAAAGAGAAAGCAATATGTAATTTAAATTTGTATATCTATGAATACTAGTGAGTGTAAATTTCTTCATGTTTATTAGTCATCTGAATTACTTTATTTTTAGATGACACACTCTTATAGAAGATAAGTTTCATTTGTACGGAAAAACAGTAACCTTTCAATCCATATCACAAGACAGAAATACAGATATATTTAAATTGAAATCTAGGATTATAAAACAAATTCAGGATCATAAATCTTCCAGTTATGATCATGGAAAGTATTTAAAAGAAATTAACTACAATCATGCAATTATTTATCAGAGTCAACTGGGATGGGGGAGAGAGGATGAGAATAAAACACTTACTTTCCTTACATACAAGAAAAGTAAATATTCTCATCAGATATTACTCATAAATATTTTAGTGATTACGATTTTCTTTTTAAAATGCATCTTATATTGGACAATGAAATATCAAGTATTTTTGAGGCTCAAAATTCTTTAAAAAAGCAAGGCATACATAATCTGTAGTTTCCCCAAAATAAAACATTTTCATATTATAATTCTTTACATAGGTTAAAGTGACAAACATGAGGAAAACATAAAAAGATACTGAAACACAAACACTTACATTAGAGCCTTCCTTGACTGAAGATTTGAAATGCACTGGTTTGGGCAATGTTAGTATTCCTTTTACAGAAATAGTAGGAGTATCTCCATACCTAGAGGGCCAACTTAAATCTCTGCACTAAAGAAAAATTATAGTTTGAGTTTTACAAAGGACTCTGACAATACAAATATTTGATACATTTCTTGAGTTAATGACAAATAAAACTATAAAAGTAAACTTTAATCTACTGAGATCTTTTGTTTCATCTCCATTAAAATAATCTGACAATTAATGTTCCACACACCATATCAATTTCCCTCTTGAGGAAAACATGTTCTAATCATATCTAAAGATTTATTTTCTTTAGATTCTTTATTAAATACTATTTGCTGCAAAATACTATAGAACCCTAAATTCCAAAGAAGATACTGACCCATTCTCCTGAAGATAGCAACAGTAGATGCTTATAATTTACACCCCTAATTATTCAATTTTGTAAGAAAAGTTGGTATTAGCTACACTAACTTACCTGTAAAACTGTGATCCAGATCTGTTCTACTGAAGAATTATAAAACACTTTCACATTTAATCTCCCCCAGTCTCTTTCATCTCCTGATAGAGTAATTGTGTCTGAATTGTAAATGGACAAAAAGGTTTCAATTACTATGCAATCCTTCCAATCCAACTGAGCTTTGTACTGTGTTCAGTCACCCAGTCATGTCCAACTCTTTGGGACCCCCTGGACTGTAGCCCTCCAGGATCTTCTGTCCATGAGATTTTCCAGCCAAGAACACTGGAATGGGTTGCCATTTCCTCCTCCAGGGGATCTTCCTGACCCAGGGATCGAACCTGCCTCTCTTGCATCTCCTGCACTGGAAGGCAGATTCTTTACTACTGTGCTACCTGGGAAGCCCAACTGGACTTTGATACAATCCAATTTTAAGAGCACAACTGAAAAATGCTGTAATTATTTTTTTAAGTTGTCAGTTTATTAAGATAAAAATCATACTTCAATGCCTTTACTGAAGTGCTGGTAGAAGACATGATATAAAAAAAATAACTGGCTTAAAATCTAAACCAAATTATAACCTGAAGAATTTAAGTTAAAACTAAGAAACCTTTCCCAAATAACACTGATATGGTTTTAAAACTGTATGCTTCTAGAAATTCCCTCACTAATATGCTTTAAAACAAACAAATGATATTTAATTTTTAAAATGCCTTTATGCCTGAACATTAAAAAATACATCATCTGATCTGAGTATTCATATGCAGATAACACTGCCAATATGGATAAAATCATCTAAACTTTTCTTAAAACCTTATCATAAATATATTCAAATTACTATCGGGTAGAAATAATTCCCTTAAGGATATAAAGTAGAATGATTTATTCCTTACCCAGGCTTCTGTTACTCCCCTGAGAATTTTTCCTTGAAGAAGAACTACTAGGCACACTGGACAATGAATCATGTCTCTAAAGATAAAATTCACTTTTAGTTAGATATTGCATATCAGATGTTAAGGATTCTGAAGCTTATGCCTTAGCACCCACTCTAGTATCAAACTGAGTGTTAACCATTCTGACAGTGTTACCACTCAGAATTTTCCACTTTAAGACAGGAAAGAGGGAAAAAGTTTTCTCTATATGTGTTAATCAGGAAAATCTTAAATCCCTTACTAGGTAATACATGGCAAAGGCTTTGCTGTTTTTGGTTTGGTTTTGTAATAAAGAGGAAGAGATTACTGTTTATATTTCATACTTGGAAGTACTAATAAAAGTCAGAATATATTAATAATTGGAAGTGCCCTATTACCAAAAAACCTATAAAGCAGTAGTTATCAAAGCAGAGTCCCCTAGGCCAGCAGTTATCAGCATCACCTGGGAACCTGGTAGAAATACAAACTCAGGCCCCAGTGCAGAGCTATTGAATCAAAAATTCTGGTGGTGAGGCTTGGCAATCTGTATTTTAACAAGTTCTTCTAACAATTCTGATGCACATTAAAAACAAACTGGTGTTATAAAGAATTAATTCTGCAAAAAATTAACTCAATTGAGGATGATTAAGAATATACTTCCATTTTAACATATGCATATACATTCACACATATACATACACAGAAAAGTATGTATTTTCAAAATTCTCAATTCTATTTCAAAAATAGAACAGTGTTAATATTAATAAAGTTCTATATCTCAACAGAAATACTAATATTTACTAACTAGGTAATTATATTCAATAAAGAAAATTAAATAATAAGCATTTTAAAGTATACCATTTTAAATCCCAACTGCCTCAAGACTGCCTCAGTGCATACCATGAGAGAAGGAAAATTCAATTTTTTTAGAAAAGAGAGAAAAACTACTGTCTTTTAGTATTCAACTGAAAGCTTCCTGAAATAATACACATGGGAAATGCCAAGTATTTATTCTTTAAATATTAGAATAGAAATGTCTATAAAAGATACATAACATGTTGTTCCTAATGAAACATATATGAATTTTACCATGAAAATAAATGATTGCTTATAATTAAATTCATATAAATTATTTACCTGAATGAACCGCTGAGATGAACTTGTAAGATCAAACATAGACTTGCTTAGCCCAGGGGGACTGGGAAGTCTGTTGGTCCTTAAGTCACAAACTACAAAGGAACATAAGAAAATCATTTATTTTTATAGTAAAGAAGAAGAAACACCGGCAGTCTACTTAATTACCATGAACTAAATCTCTACAGAAAAAATAGCATAAATATGTGATGGTGTAGTTGCTAGGTCATGTCTGACACCTGTGACGCCATGGATTGTAGCCCACCAGGCTCCTCTGTCCACGGGATTTCCCAGGCAAGAATACTGGAGTGGACTGCCACTTCCTTCTTTTCCAAGGGATCTTCCCAACCCAGGGATCAAACCCAAACCCGCGTCTCCTGCATGCAGACAGATTCTTTAACGCTGAGCCACGAGGCAAGCATAATATATGCAAATCTACTTAAGAGACAAAGCCTTCCAATGAAGATTAAAAAGTTGTTTTTCAATTATTTTACTTTTGTTTGAAACAGAAACCAACACAAATCAAACAACGCATTTTCACAACCACATCAAATATCAACCAGGATGTAAGTCATCTGTACTAAAAGCAATTCAACTATTTAATGAGCACTTATTAAAAATATCAATATTGAATTCCATGTACTGTTATATTTCTAGTCTGTATTTCTAGTGTCCTTTCTAAACTATAAGATCCTTGAAGAATGAAACTCTGAATAATAATGGTATAGCCTAGCACAGTGCTAAAATAAATATTTAAATAAATACTTCTACTTTATTTTCAGTACCTCGCCCTGAATTTAGTGGTTGAGAGAACTATATATTTTTTTTCTGAAAAACAGTGAAAATTTTGTGAATAGGATATGTATAAGATAGTCCATAATTGATACAGTCTCAAATATTAAACTAAAAAAGTCTGGTAATCACTTAGGCATTTTCTATGTTTTTGTTTACATTTCCAATCTCATCATTAGTTTCCAAATTTCTCATTTTCACTGAACAGAAGAGAAAACAAATAGTTAGTAAATTCTTGTTGTAGATATGAACAGATGTTATATAAAATATGTACAAAATTTAAAAATTTCTTTAAAAATAGGACAAACAAAATGGAACTTAGAACTACCAATATACAGAACTCATTAGTCTTTCAATTTTTATATTAGATATAAACCATAGAGAAGTTATGATGTGATTTAATCATATTACTTCTGAAGCCAGCTTTTCTCTTTATTTTTAAATTGTTTTTCATTTCATTTCATTCATTAAATTGTTTTTCATTGTAAGATTAATCATTTCTTCCAGAATCTTAGATTTAATTTGATTTCTACATTTGTTAAAGAGGAAAAACAAAATTTTTTTTCATACCTGATCCATATAGTCTTGTTGCTTCAGAACGAGGAGGAAAGCGCCGACTCAAATCAGGTGACACATGCTGGTACTTATAGAATGGGTTATATACATCATAGCTGGGTCCATGCTGGGCTGAACTGGAAAGTTCTGCCTTTCTATCTCCAAAAGATGCTCTGGCAGATCCTGAAAGCAAGTGTTTCTAAAATTTTTCAACATCCTTTTCTTGGAATTATTAGCTAACAACTGGTGCACCCAAGGCAAAGGGGAAAAAAACTTACTAACCTATAACAAAACAATATACATACAATATGTAATTTCATTTGCTATAAAGGTCAGAAGCAGAAAAAAAACTAAGCCACAATATTTAGGGATATGTGCTTAGGTGGTAAAAAGTAAAAACAACAAGAAAGTATGATTGTAACAACTGAAATTTTGATTAGAGTAACTGAAAAGGGGGAAGATGGAAGCTTTTGCTTTGCTGGTAATACTCTCTTTCTTTACTTGAGTGGTGACCATACATCCACTTTACTTTTGTATTTTAGATACATCTATTTTACTTTATAATAAATCACAAATCATTTCTGTTTTGCTCCTTTTGTCTATGTATATTATATCTCACAATTTTAAAAGGGTAAAACAATAGATCAAATTCCTTTCAAAGTTAAGACTCACATTAGAATTAACACAGACACATGAAATAAAATTTTTAAATGTTTGAATCACCATCTTTTAATTATTTTTATCCTATCTAAAATAGAAACCACAGTATAAACAAATATTTTCTGAATTAAGCTGAACAATAAAACAGGTGGCTTCACACTGAGTTCAGAAAAGAAAAATAACATATTTGGTTTTGAAGTGAGATCTTATTCTCTTATTCTGGTTCAAATAACTGTGTACAATCCAAGCCCTGTACATAGGCAGAGGGGTGCCAAGAGGGAGGTGTGATCTCAGAGAGCCTTATAAGAAGCCTGTAAACCTTATAAGCCAATAGTTAAATCATTCAGCACATAAGCACTACTACAAAAGTCTTTTTATGGTAACAAGAGCAGCACTGTCAACAGGAGTAGCATAAAGATGACTCTCTACCTTTATACGCTATCCCTAAAATTGAATATTCTTATTTCATTTTTCCTTTATAAGTAAGTCAATGAAGAATTTCAATTTTCCTCTTAAAAAGATACTATATTTAAAGTTCAAGATTAATAACTCTCAATTTACAGAACCACAGTGCTATAGAACTAAATGTAAAGTAGCACAACTGCTTATACCTCTCAAAAGCCCAATTAAAAATTTCAGAATTTATTCAAATGCATTCTCTTAATGGATAGGTAGATAGACATGTCATAAAGCAAATATAGTAAAATATTAATAATCAATCTCTGTTATGCAAGCAGTAAGCTGCAGTTAAAATCAGATCCAACAGCAAGTACGCAATGCAATATAACAAATGTCAAATATCTGAAACATGATTTTAGTTATTATTGATAGTGGTGCACCCTATATTCTCAAAATCTCTGTATCAGCCCATCACTCACACATTCATACATACATACAAGAGATACGTATTTGATTTCTATAATTTGGCACCAAAAATGCTTTATTGACTCATTAAATAAAGTAATTTTCTCTCCAATATGCTAAAAATCAGATGGATTTATCACATCTTCATTGAGCCTATAATTTCAGTATAAACCAATTTCTCACTCATCCAACTCAAAAAGTAATGTTTTCCAGTGATACAATGGAAAAAAAAAAACACAAAAGAAAAACTATCACATACTGTCAGGTAGTTATTTCTTACTTAGCTTCTGATAATGAAAATAATACATAAAATATCCTATATGTCTAAGAATAGAGAATTTATTAAATAAACTTTATAGTACTTCAATATGATTTATCCTTTACTATTAAGCCATTAAAATTTTCATGATATATGATACGAATAAAACAGATTACAAGGCCATTTATATGGTTTACTCCCAATGCTGTTAACAAGTACAAGAGAAAGATCAATTGATCAGGGTATACTTTATAACAGAACTTTTAGAAACTGCTTTGGAGAGACACTGCTGATACGTGCAAAGCAGGGTATTAAAGCTGATATGTGCTAAGCCAGGCTCAGGGTTCATCTTTCCTTGCTTCTTTTTAAAAAATTATCACTTCTGCCAGACCCAACTCTCCTGTGTATGCATGGTGTTAAGTCGCTTCAGTCATGTTCAGAACTTTGTGACCCTATGGACTGTAGCCCGCCAGGTTCCTCTGTCCATGGGATTCTCTGGGCAAGAATACTGGAGTGGGTTGCCATGCCCTCCTCCAGGGCATTTTCCCAACTCAGGGATCAAACCTGTGTCTCTTAGGTCACCTGCATTAGGCAGGCAGGTTCTTGACCACTAACACCACCTGGGAAGTCCAACTCTCCTGTTCAGTTCAGTTCAGTTCAGTTGCTCATGGGGTCTTTGTGACCCCATGCATCACAGCACACCAGGTCTCCCTGTCCATCACCAACTCCCAGAGTTTATTCAAACTCATGTGCATCAAGTCGGTGATGCCATCCAGCCATCTCATTCTCTGTCATCCCCTTCTCCTCCTGCTCCCAATCCCTCCCAGCATCAGGGTCTTTTCCAATGAGTCAACTTTTCGCATGAGGTGGCCAAAGTATTGGAGTTCCAGCTTCAGCATCAGTCCTTCCAATGAACAGCCAGGACTGATCTCCTTTAGGATGGACTGGTTGGATCTCCTTGCAGTCCAAGGGACTCTCGAGAGTCTTTTCTAACACCACAGTTCAAAAACATCAGTTTTTTGGTGCTCAGCTTTCTTCACAGTCCAACTCTCACATCTATACATGACTACTGGAAAAACCATAGCCTTGACTAGACGGACCTTTGTTGACAAAGTAATGTCTCTGCTTTTTAATATGCTATCTAGGTTGGTCATAACTTTCCTTCCAAGGAGTAAGTGTCTTTTAATTTCATGGCTGCAATCACCATCTGCAGTGACTTTGCAGCCCCCAAAAATAAAGTCTGACACTGTTTCCCCATCTATTTCCCATGAAGTGATGGGACCAGATGCACTGTAGATAACTATAATAACCAACCAAAAAAACAAACAAAATACCCTGAAGGCACTAGAGAGTGAAAAAAAAAGTAGTAAGGATTCTGAACAGTACTTTAGGACAAAGGGGAATGGCCACCTTATTTAATGACTTTTGGCCTTTAGGCAGACCAAAACTGGCACTATATGGAGGGGGGGCGGTGCAGATAAAATTCCAGTAGAAAATCCAGTCTTTCTGGCCTGAAGAACATAGGGCAGAGTACAGAGCAACCACAGCTGCGAAATAAGGTGGGAATCTTGGAAAGGAGAAAACCCCAAATTCTGTGACTAAAAGTCTGCTCAAATATCTGGTTGATCCCTGAACCACACATGTGTGTACAGACTCCCAATAAGGATTAAAAAAAAAAATACTAAGCTCAGATAGCAGCTGCCACCAAAGGCACAGAATCTGCCACACAGTACAACCAGGTTAATTGCCTGCTAAAGTTAAGGAAGGAGGAAGGAAAGGAGGAAGGGAGGAAGGGAAGGAAGGGGAAAAATAACTGTCAAGAGTAATATAACCAATTCCAGAGTCTCCACAACATGACATCCAATGTCCAGAATACAATCCAAAATCACTCCACATACAAAGAAATGGGAAAATGTGACTCATTCTCAAAAAAAGACAATCCACAGTATCCAAAGCTAGAAGACCCAGATGTTAGAATAGTATACAAAGATGTTAAAATTCAAAGAAATAAAAGAAAATAGTTCATGATTATTGGGGGTTGGGGCAGAAACCACAGAAAAATAGAAACTATGAAAAGAAGAACCAGATGTAAATATAACAACTGAAAAATATATCTAAAATTAAAAACTCACAGGATGGGCTTAATGGCTGAATGGAAATAATGGAGGAGAGAGACAGTGAACTTGAAAATAGGTCAACATTACCAAACCTTAAGAATATAGAGGAGATGCGAGCATATGGCGTCACCTGGAACTTGAACAGCTGCACGAGGCTACCAGAGATGATGGCCAAGAACAAACTAAGAGGGCAGACGTCCAGGAACATATTCCAAATAGACAGCCAAAAAAGCTTTAAGGTTAAAAATAAAGCAAAACCAGCTACCACTAATCTTAACAAGATAAACACTGTGAATGATGAAAAAGCTAACAGAGTGAATAAACCTTCAGAGACATACAAAAGGAACTTGCACACTTCTTAAAACTTTTCACTTGAACCTCTGCAGAAATAGGTGATTCCTCAGCAGTGTCATGAAAGCAAACCAGCTAATGTTGATGAAACTATAAGATTAGTGGTTCAGTTGTAATACACTGATGATGCATCAAAGTGCCACAAAAGAACAATAAATTAAATGTTTTACATTTTAGAAAAGAATAGAGAGGAGGGGGAAAAAATGGGGAAATAAAAGAAGCTTCATAGACAAGACAATATCACAAGGTCCAACATATGTGTAATTGGTGTCCCACAAAAAGAGAGAAAGGATGGGGCAGAAAAAGTACTTAGAGAAATACTATAGATCTTGATGGGAGGTTGGATCACACTGGTATATACATTTGTCAAAACTCAACAAACATACACTTACAACTTGGGCAGTTCATTTTGTTTAAAGTTTATGTCAAAAGAAGGAAACTATAAATAAATGAACTCTAGTAAATGATATATATACTTAAATATTTAGAGAGAAGCATACTGATGTCTACAATTTACTCTGAAATGCATTCTCCCCTTACCCTCAAAAGAATTACTAATGGTTAAGGAAATGGATAGATAGATATGTGATAAAGTATATATAGTAAAAGTGTTAATGACAGAATCTATATGGTAGATATACAGGCATTCACCATTAAGTTCTTTCAATTATTCCATATGTTTGAAATTTTCCATAATAAAATTTTGAGGGAAATAAACCACTGTGACTGTTTCAATGAACTAAAACAATTTCTAAAATATAAGTTACAGGTTGCTTCTTTTTATCTTCCTTAGTCCACTGGCCTCTAGAATATCAGCCAAAATTCAGCCAATGAATATACCTCATTCAAGTGGCTGTTTAGACTGGGAAGCGTATTTAGACTGATAAGTATAATAATGAAAAAGAAGGGAAGGGAGAAAGACTACTTCATTGCTTCCTTATTTCTCTTTACACTAAAATTTAGAAAATAATATTTCCTATATTTATTGACCAAAACCAGAATAATTTCTCTATTTTCTTCTTTCTAAATGTGTGAAGGATAACTGACATATTACAATTATATTACTCCTTTAAACAAGAATACTAGAGTGGGTTGTCATACCCTCCTCCAGAGAATCTTCCCGACCCAAGGATCAAACCCCTGTCTCCTGCATTGTCAGGTGGGTTCTTTACCACTAGTGTCACCTGCAAAGCCCTAAAAGAGGCCAATTCTACATACAAATGTGTTGACTGGTGTCAGATATCATAATGGGACTTTTCAAAAACACTGTGCACTGAATTCCTCTATAGAAGACGCAAGACATTTTAAAAACTGAAATGTCAAATTTGTACACAAAGATATTTTATATCTTTATACACATATAAAAGAGCAAGTTAAATAACAGCAATAACATTTAAATGCTGCATGTTGATTTTTAAATCCTCCCATTTTATTGTTTACCTTCTAGTTCTTCCAACTGTGAAGGAATTCCTTGAGTCCTGGGCTGAATATAAGATAACTTAAACCTGGGCACCACAAATGGTACTTCTTTGCCATCAGATGGTAACTTGGAAAGTAAATAATCCTCAGAACAGCCAACCTGAGGCTTTACAGAAACAGAAGTCAATGGGGGTATAGAGATAGCAGTATTTTGTGATACTGCTGCTCTGAAGTCTCTTTCCACAGATACTGCATAGAAAAGAAGAGAAAAGAAAAGAGAAAAAAAATCACAAATATGCATGGAGATTTATACATATAACAATCTAAACCGAACGTGCTTTGGTACTTATTTAACCATTTTAAAAGAAACTGTTGACACATAAACTACTTTTGAGTCTTATCAAGCACTCTGGAATCTACATTAATTCTGCCTAGCCAATATTTGAGAAGTTAATATACTACTACCAAAGTGTATTAACTTATCATAATGGTAAAAGCAGTTTGTAAAGAATTTCATTTCCACAAAAGAGTTCATAGATGGAAAGCAAGTTAATTTTGTAATTAATTCCACAGTGTTTTCAAATAAATACTAATCTAGTCATTTAAATAAAAATACTGTCAACAAAACAATTCTAACCTAATGGTTAATTTCAGCCTTAAATAAAAGCTACTTTGAAAAGAAGCTAAAGGTCTCCACATCTACAAAAAAAATCTTTACTAAACCACAAAATAAAATTTACTTTGACCCTAGTATAATATCAACTCCCCTGTGCTAGCTTCTGTGACCTCTTTTGTTTATTACCTTGAAAGATATGTGATTCCTAGGCTGTGTGACTTAGGATGAAGTAAGAAACATCTAGAGCTAATCTTTATGTATAATTAATACTGTCTATAGACAGAATGAAAGCGCAACTACTACTCTGATGGAATTTATGAAATGTTTTCTTGCGAAAAAGAAGCCTTCATACTCAAATACACTAGAAAGCTATGCTTTAGACTACGAAATATAAGAAAGAACCAAGACAAATAAAGTTCCAGTCATAACCTTGAAGGGCTGAGAAAACCCATGCAATAGCAAGGGAAATCTCCAGGAGTCCTGGATAAGTGTGGCTCCTGATAAAGTTACAGGCTTCTTCTCTATTGGTCATTCATTCATTCATGGAAGGCACATTTTAAAGCATTGTTCATAAACTGGAAATTGTATTTAAATTAAGACATTTGCCAGAGTATGTTTTCCCCAAATACTTCTCTCCCTACTTTTGCTCACACTGTTTCATCAACCTGTAACATTCATGTCTAATCCTCACTTTCAAAATCCTCTTCAAACTTCCATACCACAAGCCATCTTCTTGTGGTAATGTCCTAGAGTGTCTCTTATGTTTAACTCATCTTTCTCTCCCCTATGCTCCAAGGTACTTTCATACTAGCTAGTGTGCCTCACATATATGTTTCTGACCCCCTTGTGAAGTTAAAAAATACATCTCATTTACATTTATATCACAAAACACCACAAATAAAGACATTAAATAAATGCTGAAATCAAAAAGAAGCGAAACTCACAGTTGTGTTTTTCTCTTCCACCATAGAAACATCCTCTGCAACAACTCTTTATAAATTCTGTTGCCATTACAGTCAATCTCCAATACCCAGCAAAAGATACAAACTTCCGATTTTAATATTAATCTGTTGGAAGAATAGAAAACAAGTTAATATGATCATGTGTAATGTCACTAGGTATCATTAAATAAATCATATTATTTATCTTTCTAAAGCAAAATGAGGGCTCTAAAGCAAAAAAAATTGTTTAGAGGAAGATAGATTTTCTGTTCCTTTATGTAATTCTATATAATTTAGGTTCCTTCTAAGTTATTAAAATAACATGCTTAAAAATTACTAAAAAACAATTTCAATGCTAGATCTGGAAAAAAATTCCACTCTCAATTTTCTCTTTCAGCTTATATATCTAAATCAATGTCCAAATAAAATTTGCAAGAATATATGGCATTCATAAAAAGTGTGAGAAAAATTTCACTTCTTCCAAATCAATTCTGTTGGTAATCCAAAAGTCCTATGAGGGCTAATAAATAACTTCATACATTATGAGTTAGTGTAATGCAGAGAAGTACACTAACAGAAAAATCTATCTTAAACATACACTAACATATATTCTCTCTCACACACACACACCCACATACACATATACACACATATACAAGTACACGTGTGCTAACTAAACCACAAATAAGATATATTGGAAATAAAGAGAGTCTGTTTTAAATTTACCAGAAACATAAAATGGTATACGAAGCCAATTGCCCACCTTGGCTTCAGTGACTTTGTTCCAAATGCATTCTCCTCATTTACACCTACTTAAACCAAAATTTTTCATGGGAAACTTCAAATGTATATACAAGAGGAGACAAAATAGTATAACAAAACCCCTGCCACCCGGACTAAACAACGATCAATTTGTGGCAAATCTTACTTCATCTCACTGTTCACTATGTTTTGTTCATCTTTCTATACAATTACCAGTCCTTTTCTTCCTCAGTTTTAGAGGATAGTTAAATATTTGAGAGACTAATGCAATATCCATAATGTAAGTGGTAAACATTCTTCCAGTCTGTCATTGTCTTTTCAATTTGATGATGATGTTTTCTGCTATGCAAAAAACAGGAGTGGGAGTGTGTGTATGTGTATATATAAACAGGCATATATACAAGCATACATACATATACAGGTGTATGAATACTGTACATCCCAGTAGTGTGTGAACGGAATCCAATCCTATCTTCTCTCAATTGATTATCCTAGTGTCACAAACACCACTTATTAAAAATTCCATATTTTCTACACTCATTTTAGGATGCTGCTTTTATTACAGACTAAATTTCCACATGCCTTGGGTTTGGGTTTTATAGTTTGTATTCAACTGATTTGTATTCCTGAACCAATATCACATTTTAAAAATTATGGGACTTCCCTTGTGGTCCAGTGGTTAAGAATCTGCCTTCCAATGCAGGGAACGCAGGTTTGATCCCTGGTCGGGGAACTAAGATCCCACATGTTGTGAGGCAACCAAGCCCATGTGCTGCAACTACTGAGTCCATGTGCCCTAAAGCTCATGCTCTGCGACAAGAAAAGCCCTCAGCTGCAACTAGAGAAAGCCTGCATGCCACAACAAAGACACAGCGCAGCCCACCCCCCAAAAAATTATAAGACTTATGTTTCAATATCCAGTAGAGCTAGCCTTCCATTCTTACTGGTCTTCAATTTCAAAATTTTCCTAGTTATGCTTGCTTGTCTGTTCTTACAAATAAACTTTATAATTTGTCCAAACCTAGGAATTAAAAGTCTGATGTTTTTATTGAGATCATGTTATATTTACATATTATTTTAGGAAAAAACTGACATTTTTAGGATGTAGAGTCTTCTGATTCAAATTATCTGATCAAGTTTATGTTTGTATCTCTGGGAGTTTTTATAGTTTTCCTCGTAAGTTTTGAACTTCTGCTAAGTGTATGCCCATGAAATTTATTTGGCTAAATGGCACCTTTTCTTCCATTATATCTTGTAATTTATTTATTTTTTTTAAATTTATACATTTTTTTCAAAGGCCCGTCTCAGTCTCAGTTTAGAGGACGCATTCCCTGACAAGCCATATCATACTAATTTCTCTCATCTTTAAACATCTAGTGAATTTTTTTTTAAGTTTTACATTTTTCATGACATTTCATGACAACTGTTCTATCTCCCCTGCTAGAATAAAAACTTTCCTGAAACAATATTGCACTTTTCTACTTAACACTCAGAACCTTGTATGATGCTGGGAATACAGCAGGAACTCAGCAAATATGTAGTTGATAGACAATGAAACAATGTATAATAACTAAGTTATATAAAAACTGGGTTGGGAAGATCCCCTTGAGGAGGAAATGGCAACCCACTCCAGTATTCTTGACTGGAGAATTCCATGGACAGAGAAGCCTAGCGGGTTACAGTCTGCAAGACCACAAAGAGATGGACAAGACAGAGCAACTAACACTATATTAAAAACTCCTAACATATTCATAAAACCACATTTCTGGACTTGTCAACTTGCAAATACTTTACATTAATTATGAAGGGAATGTGACGGTTAAAAATGATTACTGTTTCTGGGAGAAGAGTTTTCAAAGTTGACACGGTTTTGAACCATCCAAAATGAACTGGAGGAGAGAGGGATTCTTATATAAATAAGAATAACGGAGCTAGAGTTTGTATGACAGACTACTGGAGAGCAGAGACGCGTACACAGAAAGAAGCACAAACATCAGTGGAAGGTCCTACTTAAGTATTCAGTACAGTACTGATCAGAGCATGCATGTAGAGAAACTGCACAAGACTGAAGGAAGACCACCAGAAAACATTACAAAGACCGTAACAACCTTTACTAAGGTCAGTAATAATGCCTGTCCCCACCAACCAAACTGGAAAAACCTCACAGAATGCTGAGTAGAGGACTCAGAGAAGACGTCTTGCCTCAGAGGTGGGGAATAAATAGCCCTATATTAAAGACTAGTCTGACCTAACAAATCTTAACAGCAAGTCTCAAAAGGATCAAACTATTTCCAAGAAACTTAACTATGTCCCAAAGCAGAAAATAATTATAGAAATCTAAATATATATATCACACAAGGTAAAGTTTACAATCTCTGGCTCGGTTCAGTTCAGTTCAGTTGCTCAGTCGTGTCCGACTCTTTGAGACTCCATGAATCTCGGCACGCTAGGCCTCCCTGTCCATTACAAACTCCCGGAGTCTACCCAAACCCATGCCCATCGAGTTGGTGATTCCATCCAGCCATCTCATCCTCTGTCATCCCCTTCTCCTCCCACCCTCAATCCTTCCCAGCATCAGGGTCTTTTCCAATGAGTCAACTCTTCGCATGAGGTGGCCAAAGTACTCTAGTTTCAGCTTCAGCATCAGTCCTTCCAATGAAGACCCAGGACTGATCTCCTTTAGGATGGACTGGTTGGATCTGGACTCTCAAGAGTCTTCTCCAACTCCAACAATCTCTGGTAGCAACCAATAAAAAATTACCAGACATACAAAGAAGGGGAAAAATATAATGCAGAGAAAAAGCCATCAATTGGAACCAATACAGAAATGAAGTGAACAGTTAAGGACCTCAAAACAATTACAAGTGATTCTATATGTGCAAAAAGTTAAGTAGAAACTTGCAAGAATCAAAAAAAGACACAAACCAACTTCTAAAGATGAAAACTATAATGTCTGAGATGGAAAAAATACTAATGGCATTAATACAGCAGATTAGACACTGCAAAAGAAACAATAAGAACAGCGAGACCCCACATGAAATACAAAGAGGGGGAAAAAAAGAATGAAAACAAAATGAAAAGCATATCTCAGACCCATGAAACAATTTTAAGAAGCCTAATATACATGTATTGAAATTCATGATAGTAATGGGGAGGCAGAAAACAATTTTTTAAGAAATAATACTAAAATTTTCCAAATATGAGACCTACAAAGCTCAGGTCTAAGAAACTCAACAAACACTAAGCTTAGAAACTATGAAGAAAATTATGCCAAGGCACATATTAAAACGGCATCATACATTCAATAAAAGGCTTATATACAAAATATTTTTTTAAACTATTATAACTCAGTAATAAAAAGAAAAGTAACCCAATTTTAAAAGGATTTGGACAGACACATCTCCACAAAAAATATACAAATGGCCAAAAGAGTACATTAAAAACATGTTCAACACCATAACTCATTAAGGAAATGCAAGTTAAAGTACAATGAGATAATACTACACATTTGTTAGAAATAATGAAACTGCAAAGACTGACCATTCCAAGCATGTGGAACAAATAGAACTCTCATTTTCAACTGGTGGGACTATAAAATGGTTTGGCAGTTTAAGTTAAACATACAGCTACCATATGATCCAGACATTTCTTTCCTAGGTATTTATTTACTCAAGAAAAAAGAAATTTTATATCCATACAAAGACTGATACATTAGTGTTCACAGAAGCTCTATTTGAATAGCCAAAACATAGAAATTATCAAATATCCATCAACAGATGCATAAACAATTGGGTATACCTGAATAACTAATCTGTGGATTGGTGTCTTTCCACCTGTACTGGTAGACTTTCCAGCACTAAATTCTCATTCATTATCTCTTTAAATATGGTTTTTGCCCATTCTCTATTTCTTTTCTTTCAGGAATTTCATTCACTAAACTTTGTTAACTTCTCCTTCTGATTATTCTCATTTTCATGTGTCTTAATCTCTTTCATATCTTCCATTTCTCTATCTTTGAGCTGTATTCTGAATGATGTACTCCGATCTATATTCCAGTTCATTCTTCCTCTCTTGGGGTTTGCATAATTGCCTAATCTGTGGTTAAACTTAACAAATGAGTTTTGAGTTTTTATTACTGCATCTTTCATCAATAGAAATTACATTCAGTTCCTTTTTCAACCAGTTTGGTACCTTTTCAGATTCCTGCTTTCTGCATATATTTTCAATTGTGATTTTTATTCACTTAAATAGAGCCCATCATGGTTAGTTTAATAATCAATAACTAGTAATTACAATACATAAGCATTTGCAAGTTTTCCTCTAATTGTCCACTGTTTTTGCTGATTCTTGCTCAGGTTGTCTTA